GCCAGGAGGCCTCCAAGCAGCTTTGCAGGGATTATTAGCACATTGGCTCCTTGACATGGCCTGGAGAAGCCAGTGCTGCTCTGAGCCCACGAGCTGGCCTCAAGTTGATGGAATGAAAACTCACAGAATTTAAGGAAGTTCCTCTAGCCATGTGGAGGAGAGAGCCACTCTTTAAAACAGAATTTTTACTTTCTTCCTTTCTGAGGTTTTTGTTTGACTGACTGGTGATTTTTATTTTTGATTCATTTTGAGACTGAGTCTCACTCTGTAGCCCCTTGACCGGTCTAGACTGTGCAGACCAGGCTGACCTCAAACTCACAGAATCCCACTTGCCTCTGCCTCCCAAGTGCTGGGATTAAAGTGTGCATCATCACACCCAGCCTCCTTTTATTAAGAGTTTTGTTTCTGGGCTGGCTGTGGTGGGGCATGCCTTTAATTGCAGCATGCAGGAGGCAGAGGCAGAAGGATCTCTATGAGTTTGAGGCCAGCCTGATCTACAAAGCCAGTCCAGGAGAGCCAGGGCTCTGTTACACAGAACAACTGTCTCAACCCCACCCAACCCCAAAAGTTTTATTTCTATTTTTTATTTTTGGGTAAGTATGTGTGTGCTTGTACATGTGTGCCTGAGAAGGCCAGAAAAGGGCGTTGGCATCCCTGGAGCTGGAGTTATAGGTGAGTGTGAATGGTTGAAAGTGGGTTCTGGAAACTGAACTCTGTTGCTGTGCACATACATGCTTTAAAAAATCTTTTCTTATTTTATGAGTGTTTTGCCTACATATATGTATGTGTACCATAAGTGTGGCTGGAACCCATGGTCAAAAGAGATTAGATCCTCTGGAACTGAAGTTACAGATAGTTGTGAGCCACACAGTGGGTGCTAGGATTCAAGCCCAGGTCTTCTGCAAGGGCAGCCACTGCTGTTAACCAACCAGTAAGCCATCTCTCCAGCCCCATGTACATGCTTCTAACTACTGAGCCATCTCTGTAACCCAGATTTTTCCCTATTAAAATAATACATATTTTCATAGATTGTTCTGGTTGACCCAACACACCTGGCATTTCTGTGGGTTTGGGGGATTCCAAAGTCTGATTTACGAAAACTTGTGAAGCAAATGCTTAACTGCTGAACCATTCTCTCCTGGCCCTGTATCAAATTTTCATTATGTATTTATGATGGAGACCTGATGAATTCCATTTCCTACTGAAAAAGTGCAGCAATGGACAGGGATGAACAGGGGTGTGGTAAGACATCAGGTCCTTTGGTTATATGCCCAGGAGTAGTATAGCTGGGTAGTTTTATAACACAGTAGTTCTGTTTTTAGTTTTTTTTTTTTGAGAAAGCTCCACATTGACTGCCACAGTGTCTGAAACAGTTCGTAAAGGTTCGCGTTCCTCCACATCCTCACCCGCATTTCTTGTCATTTCGGAGTCACCACCTTTACCACCACAGACACTCCTCTGCTAGCTAATGAAGGGTCTGTGTGTCTCAGGCACTCCATTCTCAGTGTCCTTTGCCCATTGCTGACCACATGCTCAGGCATGTTTTTGACTAAATGCCTCAATTAGATTTTGTTTGGTGTTTTCCTTATAATTAGAATTGGATTAAAAGAATCCTTACAACTATTTATGAAGGTAAGGACTACAGCATGAGGGCTTTATTCAAAGGCAGTCTAATGCCGAAGAGGGGTTTCTGTTACTACTTTTGAGACAGGGTATCATAAATAATCCTGGCTGTCCTGGAAGTCACAGAGATCTTGCCTGCCTCTGCCTCCAGAGCACAATATTAAAGATGAGCATCACTTCAATTGAAAGGCCTGAGTTTTGAGCTTATCATTCTGGCTTCTCATAATTGTACACTCTGTAGCAGATATGAGTGTGGCATGAAAAGCCTGAATTGGAAATCTACTTTCTCCATGTTATAGCTGTCTAGCTTTATGAAGGACCACACTTAAGTTCTCTGTGTTTCGGTAGAGCCATTGAGAGCAGTGCAGCAGGCTTGCAGCACATTATAAAACACTTGAAGCAGTGCCAGGCACACAGTGGTACATGAGCAGGGAAAGACTGTTCTTCATAAGAGGAGCTGGGCCTTCTTGCTGAGAGATTCCAGCACTGACACCAGCTCCTCATTTCCTGGTGGCTTTGAGAACATTTTGGAAAAGGGAGCAGAAAGAATTTTAAGAGCTGCAGGATGAGGAGTGCTGTGAAATGCTGTGTTCTGGACATCGTGCGGCACTCAAGAACACACAGCAGCTATGCAAGACCAAGGCAGAAAGATCACCCAACATTCCAGCAGGGAGCACTAACTGGACTCAGTTGTTTAGCAGCGGTAGGGGGAGATGAAGGTATATGGATATGTGTTGGGAGTGGAGGGGAGAGGAATGCTTCTATGTACTAAACTGTTACAGAATAAGAGATACTTTTTCTAAGAAAATGTAAGAAAAAGTTTTATGTCTCTTCCATGTCCCCAACAAGATGTAACTGCCTTTGGTGAATCTCAAATACTATCCAAACTCTACCCATCATCACACAAAGACACCTGCATATAGTATGAGAATGTACTTGGTGTATCGGTACGTGTGTGTGTGTGTGTGTGTGTGTGTGTGTGTGTGTGTGTGTAGGCCAGATATCAGCCTCAAGCATCACTACTCAGACGCTGCCCACCTTATTGTCTGAGACAGTTGCCCTCACGCAGGTCTCCTGAAGAGGCTGGACTACCTGAAGAGCAAGACCTGGGAAGCCTCCTGGCTCTGCCTCCCCAGCGCTGGGATGACACAACTGAACCACCATGCCCAGATTTTGCCATAGATTCTGGAGATCAAACTTTGGTCCTCACACTCGCGGGGAAAGCACTTTACTGAGCCATTTTCCCAGCCCCTGCCTCCACATGTTTGGTTACATTTTATTTGTGCGTATGTGTGCACATGTCAGAGTGCCCGTGCGGAGGTCAGAGGACAACTTTCTGAAGCTGGTCCTCTCCTTCCACAGTGTGGGTCCTGGGATCCAACGCAGGTCCTCAGTCTTAGCAGCAAGTGCCTTTACCCTCTGAGTTGCCTCAATGGCCCCTCCTTTCCACACTTTTCAGTTTCTATTCTAGGAGCATCCACATGCCTGGATGCCAAAGTCTGGATTCACCTGCTGGAGATGTTGTCACAAATCATTGCCAGGTGCTTGGACAACAAACCTGTCGCCTTATGGTTCTGGGTGTTTTAGGAATAAAATGCAGGTGGAGCATCTCACTTCCTTCTTTCTGAGGCTGGAGGCAAGGATCCACCAGGGGCCTTTCTCTTTACAGACAGCTGTCTTCTTCCCACGTCCCTCCATGCTTTCCGCTCTCTGCGAAAACCCCATCTCTCCTTTTCACCAGCTGAGTTGAATTAGAGCCAATCCCAATGACCTTGCTTTGCTATGATTATTCTATAACCACCTGGTCTATAGAACCACTCCTGTGATCACAGCACTGAGGCAGGAGGATCACTGCAAGTGTGCAGGCAGCCTTGGCTACACAGTAAGTTTCAGACAAGCCAGGACTTCAAAGCAAGATTCTGTCTCAAAACAAACCAACCACAAACCCATCACACGTGCACAGTAGCACAGGCCTGTAATCCGAGTATTCAGGAGACAGAGGCAGCCTGGACTACATAGTGAGACTATGTCTCAAATTTTAAAAATAAAATAAAATAGAAGGGGACTACTTGGGACTAGATAGGAGAGTGGGGTCGGGGAGATGACGAAGTGGTCCAAGTATATCTGTATAAAACGTCACATGAGGGACTGGAGAGACGGCTCAGCAGCTAAGAGAACATGTTACTCTTGCAGAGGAGCCAGGTTGACGTCCCCGCACGTGGGGGTACACAACTATCTGTAACTCCACTGCCGGGGGTTCTGATAACCTTTTCTGACCTCTAATGGCACCAAGCACACACAAGGTGCACAGACATGCAGGCAAAATGTTCACATCTAAAATAAAAATCAATAAATCTAAAATAAAGTCATATGAAACCCAACATTTTATACCGTATGAGTGTGCACACGCATGTACACACACACACACACACACACACACACACAGGAAACTGTAACCAAACAAGGCTGCATTGAGAGTCTCTAGCACATGTACTTTTGTGAGGGACAAGATTCAAGCTGTGGCAGTGTCTGTGATCTGAACCGTTACCTTTTCCAAGTTCTTGTCTGCCATCTGTGTGGGCTTGTGAGCAAGTGACTCCAGGACAGGCAGCACATGGCCAGTGAGTGGAGGGGACAGAGGTTCCTTGCTTCACCCTAGAGCGTGCGTGTTCCACCACAGACAGGCTCCAAACCAAGGATGTCACATCTTCAAATCTTTAATCCCAAATCAGATCACAGTGAAGTCAGAGCTAGGCTCTTCCCTGTCACACCAGGAAGTTGTAGGAGTTGATTCTCCCTCAAGTGAATCAGCACAGACTTGGACAAAGAAGACTCCCAAATCCTTCTGGGACCCCCGCCTTCCACCAGCTCACACCCATCTCTCCATCAGGTCCTTGCAAGTTTCTCCAGGGAGGCCCCATTTGAACATAGCCTACCTCAAGCAACCCAAATTCAGCTACCAAGAAAGAAAAATCTGTGCATGTGTGTATGTGTGAATGTGTGCATGTGTGTGTGTGTGTGTGTGTGTGTGTGTGTGTGTGTGTGTGTGAGAGAGAGAGAGAGAGAGAGAGAGAGAGAGAGAGTTCAGCATCAGGTATCTTCCTCTATGTTCTGCCTTAGTTTTTGAAACAGACTCTCTCGCTGAACCTGGACCTCATTAACTGGCTAGGCTAGCTGGCCAGTGAGTCCCAGGGTTCCCCGGGGTCTGCCTTCCAACACTGGAATTACAGACATGTACCACTGTGCTGGCTTTTAAAGTGGGTTCTGGGGACCCACACTCAAGTCCTCATGCTTGCTCAGCAAGCACTTTACCTACTGAGCCATCTCCCATGCCCACAAAAGCGTTATTTACAAGGAGAAGATTAGGGATCAAGACATTTTGTGAAATGGACCCCCAAAGTGGGAAGAACAGTTTCTCTAGAAGATAGGTGAAAAGTTGGAAACTGAGGCAGGCTTCGCAGATGCCTGCCGAAAGCAGTCTGGGGCTCTAGGCAGTTGGGCCACCCCGCTTGGGGCACAGTGACCCCCAGGGCGGGGAAGGCAGGGTGAGCAACAGGAAACAGACTCCCCCCAGCAGCAGGATTAGACCAGCGCCCACACCACAGCCCAGGGACCAGGAATACTCATAGGCCAGGCGTGGAGCTGGAGGGGTCTCAGGGCTGATGCCACCGTGGAGCAGGGCTCTAACGGAATGCCGGAACACTTCCAGGCTGACAAAGAGCAGCAGGCCTGTCGAAGAAGGAGGAGGAAGAGAGTGAGACTCTCAGCCCAGGGACTCCAGTTCAGGTTTGGAATTGTCACCTCCTCCTCCCTTTGTCAACCAAGAAACAGGATCCTCTTCTTAAGCTTTTCGCTGTCAGTTATCCTCATTCCACCAATGGAGGACAGGCAATATTACATCTATGCCTAACATGCATTTTTCTTCTCTCTCTCTCTCTCTTTTCCTTTCTCTCTCCTCCGTGTACGTGTGTGTGCACTTGTGCAGGTGTGCGCACACGGGTTCATGGTCCATGTGTCTATGTGTGAAAGCCAGACAGAGGTCACCATCACATGCCTTTCTCAATTACTTTCCACTTTATTTTTAAGATGTTTTTTAGCACTTGGGAGACAGAGGCAGGCAGATCTCTGAGTCTGATGCTAGCCTGGGCTATAGAGAGAGTTCCAGGAGACAGCCAAGGCTATACAGGGAAACCCTGTCTCTGGCAGGATTATGGGGAATAGGGATATTTCAAAATTACATTTTAGAGTGTGTGTCTGTGTGTGTGTGTCTGTGTGTGTGTGTCTGTGTGTGTGCGCACCATGGCACATGTGTGAAAATCACAGGACACCTTGTGCAAGTCAGTTCTCTCCTTTCACCATGTTGGGGAGAGAACATCAGACTTGTTTTCACGTCCCTATGCCTGCTGAGCCATCTTGCTGGCCCTACACCTTATTGTTTTGAGACAGGGTCTCTTACTGGCCCAGCGCTCACTAGTTTGGCTTGACTCACTGGCCAGCAAGCCCTCCTTTCTGTGCCAGCCTGCTGGGATTGTAGACTTATAAAGTACAGATTCTAAAAGCCGCCTTGCTTTCAGTGGGTGCTGGCGACCGAGCTCAGGCAGCCTTGCCTACACAGCTAGCACGTAACTGACCACAACATTTCCCAGCCTCCCACACCCTCATTTTGAGGCAAACTTTCCCACAGCTCTAGCTGCCCTTCTCATCATTATGTACACCAGACTAGCTTTGAAGTTCAGAAATCCTCTTCCATCTGTTTAAACACTAGGATTACAGGCATTCTCTACTATGCCTGGCTTAATCACTTTTTGTGGGGACAGGGGTTGAGATGAAATCTCTCTATGTAGTCCTGGCTGTCCTGGAGCTTGTTACATAGACCAGATTGGCCTGGAATTCAGAAATCCTCCTGTCTCTGCCTCCCAAGTGCTGGGATCAAAGATGTGTGCCACCATGCCTGGCAAACTTTTTTTATTTAAAGATTTATTTGTTTATTTTATGTAAATGCGTGCTCTATCTGCATGTACACCTTCGTGCCAGAAGAGAAAATCAGATCCCAGTACAGACAGTTGTGAAACACCATGCGGTTGCTGGGAATTGAACTCAGGGCCTCTGAGAGAGCAGACAATGCTCTTACCACTGATCCAAAATTTTGATACAAAATTCAATGATGCAGTTCAGTGAAAAAGAGGCCAAGAAAGCTCAGCATCAAATCTTGTCTCTGCGTGGCTTCCTGCCCAAGACCTGCATGACACCAGTCCACCAATAATCCATCATGGAAGAGGGGAGATATAAGTGATTTTTGGCCAAAGGGAGATATACATGCAGGCAAGCATTTACACATACAAAATAAGTAGATAAAAAATAATAGCAACCTTTAGCTAGTCTATCGATATAGTATTTTGAACTAGATGTAGACTAAACAGAAGTCTTTGGTATTACTGAGGTCCGTATTTGACAAGATGTGGCATTTCTTTCTTTACCTATAAGAATAGTATACAGCCCTGCAGATGTCAAGTCAAGTCCAAAATTTATAGACTGTTTGGAACTCTTCTTAGTAGCTTGAGACTCTCTCATCTTCAGACCTACTCAACCCTTGACTTTCTTTGACCTCCAGCATGTAATACTGCTCAGAGTCCTGCCTCTACCTCTAAGTATGCAACAGTTTCAGGCCAAATCTAAAAGAGCGTTTGGAGAGAATGCAATTGATGTGCAACAGCAGGGCTTGGGATGCGCCTAACTTTTACATTTTACATGAACTCACTTCAACTTCTGGCACACAACAGTACCTGGAGACTACCCCCTCCCCTTGACATGAAACAATCCTTGGAGAGCCTATGTCCAAACCTAAAATAGTATTTGGAGACAGCCTGCTCTTCTGCCAACAACGGGCTTTGAAATTCTTCCATCTTTGAGCCTACTACAGCCCTTGAACTGCCCCCTCCTCTACTCCCAGCATGGAGTAGTGAGTGGAGATCTCATTCTCAGTGTGCAAAAATTCTTGGCACTCCTGGCTCAAGTCTAAAACAGCATCTAAATCTAAATAAACCTTGCCAGAAAAAGTCCTTGGAATTCTTCCATCTTTGAACCTACTAGAGCCCTTGGGTTTTTCCTCATTCCCAGCATGCAGCAATACTTGGAGATTCTACTCTCTAGCATGAAACACTGTGTAGAGTTCCTACTGCTCCCACAGCAGTGTGTGGAGATCCTAACCTCCAGCATGCAACAGCTGGTAGAGGTCCCACATCCCAGTATGTAATGGTGTGTGGAGGTCCACCTCCCAGCATGCAACAGCATGTGGAATTTCTACCTCCAAGCACGTAACAGTGCATGGAAACCCACCTCCCAGCATGCAACAGTGTGTAGGGATCTCACCTCCCAGCATGCAACACCCTTGGTCCCCCCACACTCAGCCCTCACCTGAGAGGCCAAAGCAGATAGCTCCCAAGCGGAGCAGGAACTCTGCTCCTTTACTGAGCACCATGATGACACAGAGGCAGCCCAAGGCCATGGCTGTCAGTCCCAGCACAGCTATCACAGCAGCTGCCAAGTTTACGTCTGCAAGGAGGGGTCAAAGAAGAGGGAGTGAGCATGGAACAGGAGAATGGACAGCACTCCTCCAAAAGAATCGGAACCAGCCAGGCTCAATGGCATATGGCTGTAATCCAAGCACTAGGCAAGCAGTGGTAGACAGATATCTGTGAGTTCGAGGCCAGCCTGGTCTGCAAAACAAGTCCAGGACAGCCAAGGCTACACAAAGAAACCCTGTCTCAAAAACAAACAAACAAACAAACAAACAAACAAACAAGGAATCAGGACCAGAAGGATGGAAGACTTCAAAGTCCCCCTGAGAGCCTCTTACTTACACTGTAGAAGGAATGGAGACTCAGGCGGGTCAGTTAGTTACTTGGCTCAGGTTACAGAGCAAAAAGGGGGACAAAGCCAGCTCAGGGAGGACCGACTGCTACTTATTCTTTGCTCCTCACTGGGTTACAGATGATGAAGTAGAGGGAAAAGTGGTGAAAGGGATTCACTATCTTGGAACCAACTAGGTTGTAATTATCACCAACTACTTCCCAGCTTGAAAATTCTGGTAAAATCCTCCACCCCTGTCAGTCTTAGCTCTGAAAAACTGGGATTAGAATAGTGGGTGGTCCATATGGGTGCGCCAGGATATTTTTGCCAGCTCTCTCCCCACCCCCTTTTTTCAAGGCAGTGTTGCTCTGTGTAGTTTTGGCTGTCTTCGACTCTTTATAGACCAGGCTGGCCTCGAACTCACAGGGAATCTGCCTGCCTCTGCCTCCCAAATGCTGAGATCACAGGCGTGCGCCACTTCACTTGGCTGACATTTCATCATCTCCGAGGTGCACAGTGACCTGACCCAGCTCAGAAGAGAAAAGAATGGAGAAGGTAAGGGGCCCTATTATGCACCAGGGCTCGCATGTTTAGCTGCCTCACTCATTAAATCCTTATTTAAAAAACAAAAAACAGTGAGAGATAAGGAGTGACCCCAGTTCCTCGGGGAGATACTGGGGCACTGGAGTGATGGTCAGGACGCTGGGCTTAGGATAGAAAGGACAAAGTCCACAGAGTTGCACTGTTGGGTACAGTAGTAGCTACCAGATACCATTTTAAATTCACTTAAGTTAAAATTAAACATTTTGATTTTTAATTAAATTACATCCGCACACCATGCTCCTGAGTAGTATGCGGTTACATGTGGCTGGAGGCCATCACATAGACGACTGTACACACGTAACAGCTTCATTTTTTCCATACGACCCTGTAGATTCATATTTATTTAGATTGGGATCTTGCCTCTGCCCTTTTCTGGGAAAAGGACAGTAATACTCTCAACCATTTCTGATTTGTTTTCTCACCTAAACTATGAAGCTAAAGTCCCAACCTTGCAGGGTTCTAACAAGAACCAGCAACTATGCTAACGAGCTTTGTGTGCTGGAATTAGCATGTAAAATGTCCTTATAATGCTCAATACACAGAGAAAATATGATTTGCCCAAGCCACAGCACAGGCAGAGTTAGTGGCCAGAGTGCTGGACACAAGGTCTGGTGATCATCTTCCCCACTCTTAACCTACCATCCCCCTCCAAATATGGGACATCCACAGAAGCTGACCCCATCCTGAGCATGGTGCTGTCAGTCACCCCTTCACAGCAGCCACCCTACCCCGATCCCTGCCCCCCCTTGTCACATTAGATGTCCTCACCTTTCTTGGTGGTTCGCTGGAAGATGTGTGCATTCTCCCCAGTGGTGAAGAATTTGAAGTAGGTGCAGTTTGATTCTGTGGGGTGCAGGAAAAAAGAAGGGAGTTGATGAAATGAAATTGTGTGTAAGCTCAAGGCTGGGTGTGTCCAGCTAAAAATAGAGTATTAGTATAGCTGACACAGAGAGAAGAATCAGGCTGAACAAATCTTCAGCATAGAAAGGTGCTAAGCCTGATGACCCCTGTTCAATCCTTGGAGTCCACATGGTAGAAAACTTGTACGGGTTGACCTCTGACCTGCGTGTGCTGTACACACAGGTCACACACACACACACACACACACACACACACACAAGCACACACAGGCTCGAGAAGGGAATAAATAAGTACATGCACAGAGCTGGGAAATGACACCATGATGTCAAGATGACCTGCCGCATCACCAGTGTTCAGAGACTGAAATTTTCACCCGAACCCTGCAGTCCAAGGGTGACCCATTAACTTCTCTGGCCCTCCAATTCTTCCTCTTTAAATAAACTGATAATCTCTCTCCTGGCTCCTTCCTGCGAGTCTGAGAAGCAAGTGGATTGGAAATGAGTTACCATTTTATTCAACAAAGGACACCAAGATGCAAGAACCAGGAGGCTAAGAGACTCAGGAAAGGTTCCTCTCTCCTATGCTGCATGAACAAAGGGCTCCTGCAGATTAGCAAGTGGGGAGAGAAATAACCCCATTGAAACATGGGCAACAGATATGAATAGTTATTCACAGGAGGGCAAGTCTGGATAGTTCCCAAGCACATGAAGAGAGACCCGCTGCAGCAGGAGCCAGAGAACGCAACTCGAAGCAGCAGGAAGGTGCCACTTCAGATCAATTAGATGGGCAAACATTGAAAGGGCAGCATCAAGCATCGGAGGGATAAGAGGAAGCAGCTGGGGCTGTAAACTGTCACTGCTCTATTTGTGAAGGACTTTGACATACTTAGAAAACGAAGTACAAGTGTATAGTAGGCGACAACAGTTCAGTTAGTAGAGGGCCATGTGAATGACTGAGGTGCGGTGAGAGTATGTCACCTTGCTGCCAAGGAGATGGTCAGTGGTTAAGAGCACATACCACCCCTGCTGAGATCAGGCGGCTTACGAGCAACTCAGTGCTAAAGGATCCAATGCCGTTTTCTGAACTCTGGGGGTACCTGTGCACACAGACACACACCATCACCACACATACACATAACTTTTAAAAAATAAAAATGAAATAAACCAAGATTCTGTCATATAGAAGCCATCCTAATCTACGTAAGTATACACTTCGGCGTTCTCAAGATGAATTGGCCTAAACCTGCATTTCTCAGAACACAACTCTACCACTAACACTAAGTACCATTGACACATGCCTGTATGTTAATACCCTATGACACAATTTTACATCTGGATATTCAGAGAAGGAAAAAAAAACACACATAGGAATATAGATGTGGTTGTTTACTAAGATGGAATAGAAATTAACCTTGTGTCCATCTCTTGGGCAATTGAGACAGATGCTCTCATGGACAGCTTTACAGCACAGAGTTGCTATAAACTACAAAAGCATAAGCAAGTAAAAGAAATTTGGAAATCACAGTATTAATCAAGAAAAATCGCATTGAAAACAGCATAAAATTACATATACCATTTCCTCAAATCAAAACATATATGTATATAAACTCAAACTCTATGTTTCCAAGTCAAAACATGTATACATGCCATACACATCAGAGAACTGAATTAGGAAAGAAGTTTCTTCAAGACAGGAGCTCCTTGTGTAGCCCTGGCTGTCCTGGAATTGGCTACATAAGACCAGGCTGGTCTCAAATTCACAGAGATCTTCCTGCTTCTGCCTTCCAAGTTCTTGGACTAAAGGCATATAACATGCACAACTTGGGAAATAAGCTTTTTAAATAAACAGATGTGGTGCCAGTCAGGGCTACATGAGACCTTGTCTTTAAAAAGAAACTTTTTAAAAGACAGAGCCATAAGAAGGACCTTGCAAAAGAAGACGATAATTTTATGTAAACATATGTAAGATTTACTCAAAGCATTGTTAATTTAAATATGAGAAATCTTAAAGTTAAAAACAGAAGTTTTAACTTCCTAAGACAGTGTTTCTTATATCTTAAGCTGACTTTGAACCAGCTATGAAGCTAAGGATGGCCTTGAACTCCTGACTCTCCTGCCTCCATCTCCCAAATGCTAGAACTGCAGGTGTGTACTGCCTGGTTTATGTAGTGCTGAGGACCAAACTCAGGACTTTGTGCATACAAGGCAAGCACTCTGCCCATTACCTATATCCGGGCTCTTGAAGTGCATTATACTCTGACCTATTCTTTTATTCTACATATGGGGAAACTGAGATACAAAAAAACAGACAGGAGGGAAAAGAACCACAGGGAGTAGAGGACATTGAAAAAGAGGCCAGACAGTTTGGAGAAGTGGAAATGGAGCTTTATAAATTGAAGGAGAGCTATGAAGGGACAAGTGGATAAATCCACATCAAGTGAGGGTATGGGGTAGGCACAATACCAGCTCATGGAAGAAGGGTTTGTGGTTTCCAGACCAGAGCAACAGCAAGTGTCAGCCTGTCCTACAGCATCAAGAGACAAAGGGCACTTCCTGTGAAAGAAAGATGCTCTTTGCAGCCACTAGTAGGGGATACAGTCTGTACCCATAAGAGAACTACAGTCTTTTCTGGGGCTGGGTGTGGTGCCTGGCATCCCATTTGGCTGCTAGGAACAGGACTTTGTGTCCATGTCCCCTGGAGGACAGGGCAAACTCGCTCGGGAAGCAACAGGGTGAGCCACTCTCTGATACCCAACAGACACAACTGCTGATCCAAGGTGTTATGTAGCCCAGGCTGGCCTACAACTCACTCTGTAGCCAAGCTGACTGACTTCTTGGTCTTTCTGTTTGCACCTCCTGAGTGCTGGTTTGTGCCACCATGGTCAGGGTGAAGTCCTGAGAAGTAGAGGGAATAGCAAGGGATGTGATGGACCTCATCATACACAGTGAAGAGGACAGTTGCTCCCAAAGACCTTGAAGATCTCTGAGACCTTCTTAAGCACTAATGATGTGCAATAAAGTATAGCTCTTAGGAACAGAGACACCTAAGAGTCAAACCACATAGAACTAGCCTGAGGCCAGACTGGGCACTAAGCTCGCATTTTTCTCCCCTGTAGAACAGATATGGGGGCAATCCATCATTGAACTACGCTCCAGTCCCTCGCTGGAGAATTCTAGACAGGTGCTCTACCACTGAGCCACACTCCCAGTATCTCACTGTGGAACTCTATGTAAGTGTTCTACCACTGAGATATGACCCCAGCTCTCTTTTTGCCTTTTGAGAGAGGATCTCACAAAGTTGCCCAGGCTGTCTCTGATCTCCCTCTGTATTCCACATTGCCCTTGAACTCAAGGTCCTCCTGCCTCCTCTAGAGTGCCTATGATTACAGAATTGTATCACCAGGCCCAGCTAGCATCCTGTGTTTGATTTCATTATCCCATTCTGCAAAGGTTTGGGATCACCCTAATCATGGCCCCAAGCAGTGAGAAACAGCAAAAGGGAACTGTTTAAGATAGCCAATCAGGACAGAGAGGTAATTCAAGACACAAACAGTTCCTGGCATCCCATTTGGCTATCAAAGGCTTAGAACATCCTATTTTGGGTTCCAGATTACATCTGGAAAAGTAGAGGTTGAGTAATGAAAGGGAATTCATCCAGAGCCCAGAGGGCGTGAAAGATAGTCCTTGAGGGGTCCTGAGACTCTCAGGTACACATTGGGGAAGAGCAAGGCAGGGATCTCATCAAACAAATGATATCCAAAGTGGGTTCTGATAGGTGTCAAATAGTGTCCTAGAGTCAAAAGAGGTAAAATAAAGACATCTCTAGTTCCCAGGGTGGTATAGAATGTCCCATTTGTCTAAGCAAAGGGCATGTTCTTCAGAGAATAAGAGGCGCAGCTGAGAGGAAAAGAACCACCATATGGGGAAATGAAGGGTGTGGAGTGTTTGTAGAGCAAGGGAGAAGGGTTGGGATGTCCACACTGACCATGAGAGGGACTGGGAATAAGCATTTCTAAGGGGGTACAAGTTGCCCTCAGAATTGCTAGAGGTGCCTGGTAAAAACTTCATTTCATTGTATCTGCAAACAGAGAATAGCGCAGATTTTTTTTTTTTTTTTACTTCCGGGTAGGCGTAGGGTGGTCTGTCTCCACAGAGGCTCACAGGGTGGGAATGTGGGATGTCTCCAGGCTTCTAGTTAAGGGCACAGGCTGTCTGTGGGTGCATGGCTGTCTGGTGGAGAATGCAGGCAGTTCTAGGGGATATGGGTTGGCGGGGGTGGGTACAGGCTGTTCTGAGGGTACCAGCTGGGTCTGAAAGCACAGGCTGTCTCTAGTAGGTACCGGCTGGTCCGGGGCACGGGCCATAGCTAGAAGACAACGTTTATAAACACGTTTTCTGAGGGGATATGCTACTTGGCGATAATGGGCTATGCCTGGGTATCTCCTCCCTCTCCCCGCCCCCTTTCTCTCCAGTTTTTCTGAGCACAGGTTGATTTGGGAACAAACTCGTTCTTGGGGATAAAACTTTTTGGTTTTCCCAGACATAAGTTTCTTTCTGCCTGACTGCGGCACACAGGTCTGGCTCAGGACACAGCCTCTCACCTCCTGGCAGCTCAGCTGGGCCACAGGTCTCCCTGCCCGGGGGCACGTCCGCCTGCCACAGTCTCTTGATGCACACCTTCCACAGCCCCAAATGGGCAGCCTCACAGACGGCGCTGCCGTTGGTCTTGTATGTATTGAGCTCCACCCAGAACTCGGTGCCCACAGCCAGCACAGCCAGCGTGGCACCCACGGCGGCCAGCAAAAGCACCAGCTTGATCTTGCCCTCATGCTCCGGAGTCAGGCCGAGATTCTGCTGTCCCTGGGCACGACGCCGGCCCACAGCTGCCCTACGACGGTCCTCCTCTTGCATGAAGAAGTTAGACCACATCATGATGATGGGAGGGAGTGGTTGGAGCTCAGGAGAGCTTCAAAGCGTCAGAGAAACCTGTCTGTACAGGGCGCCTGTGGGGTAGGGAGCAAGGCCTGGACTTTCGAAAGAAGTAGGAGTTTCAGTGTCAACTAGATTGGGAATGAGCAAAAGCTGAACCCCAAGTGCAAGAGTGAAGGCCTCTGCCCCTCAGAACTAAAAATAAAAACAAAAAGAAACTATGTTCTTGACCTAAGGATGCCACCTGGACTTGTGCCCATGAATTTGGCACAGGTGAGGCCTAGAGGAAAGCCAGGCTCCCTTTGAGGTTCACCTGTCCAAGAGGGGGACTGGGGAGCTCCAGGAGGGAGCACCTGCTCTGTCTGTACAAGCTGCTGATGGGGTCTCCAGTAAGCCTCAGAATTTTCCCAAAGAGGGGACGTTGAGGGTTTTCGTGTATTTGGAAAATATGGTCTAGGTTTCTTCCGGCTGAGTTTGAGGAGGGAGATATCAGAACACCTTCGGGTTATACAAGAGTTAGACTTGGGTTTTCACAGAGAAAGTAACAAATCCTTTCAAGTCTCAGAGAGGCAAGGAGGATCCTCCAATATTCACAGCAGATCGGGGGCGGGGGTGGGGGGGACTGAATTCGGGCGGGGGGGGGCAATGGGCAAGCCAGGAACTACTCAGACAAAAAGCCTAAGTCTCTCCGTGGCTGAGAATCACGGCGAGGTCCAGAAAAAGAGGCTAGGGGACTCTCTGAGGGCCCAGGAGAAAGACTGGGGTTCCAACAGGGCTCAGACCAAGGCACTGTGGTCCACACTCTGGCTCAGAAAACCAGGGCAAAGAACCCTGGGGGACATAGGACTTGGAAAAGGACTCTCAGTCAGTCCGTTTGCAGTCACTCGGCTCCCCCTCCCCCAGGCTCCCAGGGCCTGCCAGGCCAGGATCGTTCCAGACTCAGCTCGGGGTCCCGCGCTCCCCTGGGTCTTCCCACCCGGGTCTCCCGGGCACGGGCCCCTTGCGCTCTCCTGCCTCCGCGCCGCGCCGGCCCCAGCTCCGCGATGCCTCCGAAGCGTCCGGGTTTGCTCGCCTCCGCCCAGTCGGCCCTCCGGACCCGCTGCGCTCGCTCCCTGCTTCGCCCCATCTGCCCACCCCCTCACCCCCTCACCCCACTGGCTATTTCGGGCTCGACCCGTAAATAACACCCGCACCTGTCGCGGGCGCCTGTTGCCATAGGGATCCCGGGTATTTTAAGGGGACAAGGGGTGGGGGAGGGAGGCCTCTAAGAAGGAGGGGCCGGTCTTCAACAAGCTGAACCTAGGGCGATTTGTTTCCCCAAGGGTCCAGGCGAGGCTGCAAAACCCAGACTCCAAAATCTGGAAGCCGGGGAGCCAGTGAAGTGCAGAGAACACGTGTTTCTGTCCTGAGCAGTCCAAGCTGGAAGCTCGCTAGCCGGAATTACTGGGTGCTGAGGGTCAGAGGATAGAAGGAAGGATTGGAGGTGGAAGTGGGATGGACCCTGGAGTCTGAAGGAGGAGGGCGTGGGTATGTACTCCTGAGTTTCAGGGATAAAGACTGAACTAGGTATGAGGGAGGAGGGCTTATAGGCTCCTGGTCCTGAGGAAGGAAGACTGGACCCTGGACTCTTGAGTCTGAGGGAGGAGGCTAAGGCCTGAACTTCGGGGTCTGAGAGAGGAGGATTGGAACCCTTGAGTCTGGGTCGGGGTCAGAGATGAGGGTAGGGCTCCAGGGTCTGAGGGAGTAGGTCTAGTGCTTGTATCCCTAGAGGAGTTGTCAGAACCTCCACTCAAGGTCTGGAAGAGGCCACTGTGGCCAGAATCCTGGGTGTCAATAGATAGACGGGTTGCAGTGTCCTCACTTCCCCAGAACGTAGAAAAGGCAGACCTCAGGGAACTGAGGGGTTAGGAAGCATGAAGCAGAGCAACTATCCTCGTTGGATTTATTAGACTGGATGCCCTTGGGGGACCTTTCATGCAGTGTTAGCTCCCCCAGGGGCAGAGACCAGGACAGGGACTGCAGGGCAGCAGGGGCCTGATTCTTAACCCTTCTTCACTCCCTCTCTCAGCCCTTCTGTGGACCACCCAGGTGGGACCCACCTTTTACCAACTCCTTCCTTCCCCAAGGGCTTCTCCAGGTGGGCCTGGTGCCATGACCAGGCTCCTAGGACACCCCTATCACCTCTGCTGGCCCTACTCTGGGCTTTTTGGTTGGAATCCATACTACCATTAAAGGTGATTTGCTTTGCTTATGTGTGGCTCTCCCATCAGACTGGCTCAACTGGTCACGGTCCTCTCCAGTCTCTGTTTCAAGACCAGGTATACAAGAAGCCTTAGACACTTCAGTTGGGTGATATGAATGAATGAAGTATAGGTGAATGAATGGCCTGGTGCGATGAGATGGCATGCACACACACCCCTCCCCGAGACTAGGAAAGATGTGACTTTCCCCTCTTCACTGGAACTGTTCTCTGTAGTCTCTGTTTTGCATGACTAAGCTACCTGTCTCTCCACTCCTTAACAAGGTAAACACAGGGGCCTGGCATCACTGAGTGTCCCCAATAGACCCTCCTGGGCACATAAATTTCATTGGCTCTCCTCAGGGCTTGATGGTCCCCCAAAGCAAGCCCCCATGCTGTCAGCAGCGGGGGTTGGCAGGTGGGCAGCACAGCCTCATTTTGGAAGTCCTCCCGAGCTCCTCCTCTCTGCCTGCAACTGAACTGGTCCCCCACCACTGGGTCCGGGATCCGCCATCTTTCTCAGTCCCGTCTGCTGTGGTAGCTCTGGAAGTGAGGGGTGTGTTTCCGGTCCTCTTGCCTGTACGTTTTGTTTCTCTGCCATCGTCCTTCTTTATTTTCAAAAGACGAGAAGTTATTATTTTTCGGGGTGCGTGTGGAGGTCAGAAGCAACTTCAGGGGCCCGTTCTTTCCTTCCACCAAGAGGGCCCAGGGTGGGGACTGAACTCAGGTGTCAGGCTTGGCAGTGACCCACTGTCTCTCTGGCCCTCTTTAAAACTTTTCTTATTGTTCTAAGAAAATCTCTCTCTCTCTCTAAAGCTCAGACATGACTTTAGGGATTGTAGCAATTCAACCCCCCTGCCTCAGCCTCTTTAGTTCCAGCTTTATAGGCATGAGCTGTTACACCCAGCTCTATCATTTTCATACCAAGATAATAATTCTGCCTCCCCATTCTTCCCTCGCAGCCCTCCTCCCTGTGCTGGATCGAGGCTTCTGTCTGTAGAACTGGCCTGGTCACCATGCACTGAGCTTGTCACCCCTGTCCGCTTTAACAAACTTCCTAGTCTTCCATGTCCTCCTCTAGCTCTCAGCAGCCTTGGGGACAACTGGCCGACTTCCTGCTTCTTAAAGCATTATGTACTTTCCACTCTTCCAATTCTTTTCCTTCTTTCTTTCATGCTAGGGATTGAACCTAGGGCAAGTGCTGTAGCCCTGAGCCACATCCCCAGCCCCTCTCTGGGGGATTCTAGGCAGGTGCTTTACCACCTGCCTAGAGAGGGAGCCTGGGAGCCATGCACCCTACCAACACTCCTTTTGCCCATGTGAGAGAATTTGCCTTTCTACCTGCCCCCAGGTCACTGTCTCTCATAGAGATGACTTAGATGTTCCCAAATTTCTGCCTGGAGTCAACTCTATCCACATTACCCTTCAAAATTATACCACTCTGTGGCATTAAATGTCTTCTGTTTGCTGATGTTACTAAAACTTGTGTTTCCAGCTCTGACCTCTTCACCACTCTCATCATAACCAGCCAGCTACCTGATACCCTGACTTGGATTTCCAGAGGCATCACCAACTGGGCATGTTCAAAAGAGAAGGCTTGGTTCCTCCTACCTAAGCTCTTCTATTCAATATCCAACGGGGCAGCTTCAACTCAGAGTCCTTTCTTCTTTTTATCTTGGCTTCTTGGTGTTCACCCACCCCCAGACTTAGCTCACCACTGCAGACACAATCTGTAAAATTCCATGCCCCTAATGTTTGCTTCCCTTTGATTTATTGTTGTTGCTGTTGATACAGAGTCTCATATAGCTCAATCTGGCCTTGAGCTCATAAAATCCTTTTGCTTCCATCCCCCAAATACCGATCATAGACATGAGCCATCATGCCTTTTATACAGTGGTGGGGTGCAGCCACAGGGCCCCTGCATGCTGGGAAAGCCCTCTATTGAACTACATTCCCAGACCACTGTCCAGTTTGGTTTGGGAGACAGAGTCTCCAGTAGCCAAGGATGGTCTTGAACTACTGATATTCTCACTACCATCTCCTGAGCGCAGGATTACAGGCATTCTCCACCTCCACCCAGCCCACTTTTTGACAGTGGTATCATTGCCAGCACAGTAACAAGATTCTGCTTTTGTCTTGTATAAATAAAACTATGGTCCCAGCACGCCTGTGCTGAAATCTCTCCAGGTGTTTCCCATCAGAATTGGAACACAATGGTTTTCTTGTTTTGTTTTGGTTTTTGGTTTTTTGCCAAATCTACAGGGACTCATCAGTCTTTTCTTCCCTACTCCTTGGAATTTGTGTGAAACTCGCTCATCCTTGTTCATATTCCTCATCTCAGCCAGCTTACCTTGAGTGGCTCTGCCCTGTCACAGGGTTACTTATACCCTCTGTAGCTTTTGTAGTCAGCTGAGAAAGTCTCACTGTGCAGCCCGGGGTTGTCCTGGAACTACCCATTATTCCTACTTCAGCTTCTGCGGGGCTGGGGATTTTCAGTATGCACCAGGATTCCTGACTTCCCGCTTTTGTTTTCTTTCTTTCTTTTTATACTTGTTTTCATTATGTGTGTGTGTAGGAAGGCATGTGCACATGAATGTGGGTGCCCACAGAGGTCAGAGATTCCCACTGGAGCTGGGGTTACAGGCAGCTCTAAACTACCTGATATAGGTACTGGGAATTGAACTCAGGTCCTCAGGAAGAGCAGTATACACTTTTAACCACTGAGCCATCTCTCCAGCCCCTCCTTTCTTCCTTTCTTTTCCTT